TATATATATATATATATATATATATATATATATATATATATATATATATATATATATATATATATATATATATATATATATATAGCTATTTCTTCTTTCATTCTAACAATTAAAATAGTTACATCTTCAACATTCATTTTGATCCTATTTTCTTCTCCTGTATACATTAGCTCCAGTTTTGTTCTGTTCTTGATCAACTAATCACTTCTTAATATGTTAACTGTAATTTTTTCAGATATACTTCTTTCTAGCTCTATTAATTGAGCATTATTTGCCTCTAAAAAATCACTCTGAACATCAGTGATCATCGAAAAATCGTTATGAACATATATTATGAACAAAAATCGTTATGAACATTATGAACATTGATGAGCGTTGCGTCGTCATATTTGTTCATTTGTTATAAACCAAAATTTAACAGATTATAGTTTTCAAAGTTTTTGTTTTATCTTTTGGCATTCAACGATATGAAACTTACAAACGTATATGTTTCTGCCAATATGTCCAACATTTGTACGAAATTTGTCACATTTATTTTTTCCAGAAATTGATGATGGTTTACACTTCGTACCAAAGCCACAATATATTATTGATGAAAATGCAATTAAAGAATTCTTTTTGTTTGCCGATGGTGTTGTTGTTTTTTGGGGCATCAATCATATTGAGGTAACTGTTGATTTTTCTTTTCTTTAAAGCCATTGTCATTATCATTCTCAAGTAATCACTTTGTATCAACATCACCGTCAAAAAAAAATCTGATTTAACATCGTCTATCCTACATGATTGTTTAATGAGAAATATTGTAATTTAATGTTATCAGTTTGTTTGATTATGACGGTGATGTTAATGATATTTCAGTACCTAAAGTATATGCTTTAAAGCACAGATGGCCAGAGTAATGAGCAAAGTATTTAGTGATGAACACCCTATCAGAAAATTGTTAAAATTTTTGAATGAAAGTGAGACGACGAGAAAAATTAAGCTACTGGATACTTCTCTTTCAGAAAGACACGAAGTTAGGGAGTCATTTTTGAAATTTTTATATTACTTTAATACTTGGCTGTATAAATGAATTAATTTACAGTGTTGATAACTCGTAAAATATTCGTCTAAATTTGAAACATTAATTTTTTGAATTGCAGCGTAGCCAAATAATGGATATTTTGTCACAGTATGTAGAATTACCGTATGAAGCATCGGTAGTTCTCGAAGAAACTGATACGTTATCATTTCGTATGGTGAAAGAGTAAGGAGATTTCTACAATGTATAATTTTTGAATGAAACAGTTTTACATTATGTTATCTTATTCTTTGCCATATTCTCACAGATCTCGTAAGAATTAGCTTTATCAGTTCTAAGCAGTAATTGTCGTGTGTTCGTGCATATCATTTACTCATTAGTTTTGTTAACTATTATTATCAGCTGATTTTGTGACTTATTACAATTACTTACATTTGGTTACATATTACGTATCTCATATGCGAATTTACATGTGATTTTTTCTCGTTTCTTATTTTTCTCTTTTTTCTTTTTTTTTCTTTAAAACTAATGAATATAAGAGATGAACATGTTAAGAGGTGAAACACGGATGAAAGGCGAACAATTGCTGCTCAATTTTGCCAATTATTTGGATGGACATTTTTCATCATTAGCAACTTTGGAGCGATTTGCTTTTTCGCATGGAATGGCTGCATCAGGTATGCTTGACATTCACGAATTCCTTCTTGTTTGATCCATGCTATTGAAGGATGATATTACGTAGGATAGTTAAAATACATACGTAGTGGGAAACGTGGATACGCCAAAAACATATATTCATAGGTATGGAAAACATGAGTGGCATAAAAAACTATTTCCAAAATATAAGGCATAGTGTATTATTTCACTTAGCATACGTTATAATCTTTAAAATCGGGACAATGTTGCAAGGATCAAATGATATTGATAGTCTCGAATTTTATGAGTTAATTTCTCAAAAAGAATTTGATTTTTCATTTCCCCTTTTTCATTTACAAATCTTTTAATTTCGAGGATTACGATTTGGTTTTTTCTTTATTATT